CCCCGCCCTGGCCTCGCCTCCCGGCTCCTCGCGGCTCCGGGGTGCCCCGCCAGGCGCAAACCTCCCGGACAGGAGCTGCCACCCCCACGGAGACCGCAACCCACGGCGCGGCCGGACGCGAGGGGCGGGGGGCGGTGGCCGGACCGCACGGCCGCCTACGGTGTCCCCTGCGGGGAAGTAAACCCAAAAGGCAGGAGCCGCTCATAACCTGGTGCCCCACCCTGGCCCAGGCGACGGCGCCCTCTCAGCTTGGTGGAGCTGGGTTCTGTATCGACCCGGTGCACATCCCTCAGCCTGCAGGGTGTGAAACTGGGGTTGGGGAGTCCAGCTTTTGAAGAGTCAAATAGGGGTTTTCGAGTTGGAAACTGTTAAAACAGCCTACGTGAAGTTGCAAAGGCACAGGCCAAGCTGCAGAGAAGAGCCGCTAAAATGGTGACGTCAACAGAATACAGAGGAACCGCGACCGACCACGTTAAAGAGGGGCAGCAAAGATCTCAGTGACAGGGGCTGGCTAAGAATGCCAAAAAATTCAAAGCCACATCCAGGAACTGCTCAATAGTTACTCTCTTAGCTCTTCTTTCCAAATTAAAAAGGACGAAGAATACGTAGAAGCAGCTAGAGAAGTGAGTGAGTTGTGTATTTTAATATGACATTCAGGAGAGCTGAATGAATTAGGATCCAAAACAAGACAAGTGTTAAAAGACAAGCTAACAAACAACAACAAAAAACGCTACCGCCACACCAAACTATATGATTTGGTTGCAATATATTCTACAAATTCAATAAAGATAGAAATAAAAGGATAAAAAAATAAAAAGGTCTAAAAATTCTCATTAATCCAATAATACTAATACAACAGGTGCCATTTTATCAGCACTTATGTGCATGATACATGGATGGGAGCTATAAGATATTATAACCCTAAGGGTTCTACTTGTTTTATCTCATTTAAACTCACAACAGACACATGAGCTATTATTATCCACATTTTACAAAGGAGGATATTGAAGTTCAGAGAAGATAAGCAACTTGCTGGTGGCTGATGAGCAGGGATTCCACCACGTGGATGTGACCCAGTGCCCCAGCCTTCTTCATCTGTGAGGCACTGTTCGTTCTGGCACAACCTGGGTTTGGGGCCGAGGTAGCTTTTCACAGATTTACTCACACTCTCTGGATCAGTTTTGTGAACATAAATTCAGGATTGGAAGGGACTCAAGAGAGTGCTTAATGCAAGCACTTGATATTGCAGAAAAGGAAACTGAGGACCACAGAAGGAAATTTAGGATGGCCCCACTGCAAGTGGAGTGGCGCCTGTTACTTGGAAGCAAAATGGATTGCCTCCTTTCCTCCCCTTTGCTGGCACTTCCTCCCCACCCCATGTTCTTTCCTACATCAGCATTCAAATTCTATGTTTCCTAATCAGAGGTTAATGTTGCTTCTTTTCCTTGAAAGCTTTCCAAGTGCTTTAACTTGTATTTTCCAGGGTTCAAGAACTTTCTCTGCAATATTCTCCATCCCCTTTCCCTCCTGCGTCCCTATCTCAGATTCCTGGGGCAGATGATTCGGTCAGGTCAGTACCTCTCCCAACCAGACAAACAGGGGCTCTCTGTTTTTACAGAGCTCTAAGTATGAAAATCCTGTAGGCTTCTACAGCCACTTATCCCAGTA